ACGAATCCACCCTTCGTTTCTCATATCTACAGGAGGAAACAAACTAGCGTTTTTTTTTCTGAGATGAAACAGGAGGAAGATGATGATTTTTCAAGAAGAGGGATGAAAAGGTTCTCTTGAAAGGAGGGGGATGCAAGAAGACGGCTTAGGAGGTGGCGGATGTTATCCTAGAATGCCCCGCTGACTGTTGACGGAAGACAAATAGCCGGAGGACTTACCTCAGGCTTTGGTGACGTGAAAAGTTAACCCTCAGAGGCCATGATCTACCACCTAAACATTGATTAGCACCAAAACCCCCACGATAAACTTCACGCGTTTTTTTTTATTTCTTGTTGTGCGCAGCGGAAATTTCGGCAGAGTTTCTGGTGCACAATAAGAGAGAAAGATCGATAAGAATTCTTGTTTCTCAAAGGGAACAAGAATCTGAAGCCTAATATCCCATCAAAGTGGGATATTAGCTCTTCCTCTCGTCAGCTCTAGGACTGCGCGTCGAGTGATCCTAAAAACTATTACAATGGCCACAAACTCAAACAAACCAATTTTACGTGGTTCGGCAAACTGCCTACGTCCACGGGGCAAGGAGGGGGAGATCTACTATTAGAGAGAAAATACAATAGGTTTACAATCTCATAAAATAAATCCTCAAACTAACTCTCTAATCTCTCACAAAAACAGCCACCAAATAGAATTTTTCTCCTCTGCACGAAGCCCAAAAAAAATCCACAGCCGCCTTTTTCTCTTTCTCCCCTCTGCCTCTGCACTTGCACCAAAACCTAGGGTTTTTGTTCTACGTGCATTTATAAGCACGAAAAAGAACTCGGGTGGGCTACGAAATCAAAACCGTATCTTCATGAATTCCCTGCACATGGTGGCCCCCACTTGCTTTTAAACTTCACGCGTTTTCTTTTCTTTTTTTTTATCTCTTCACGTGGTAGGATGGCCCACGTCACAATCACAATTCTCCACCTCGGTGAAGTTTTCCCAAAACTGAGCCGACACCAACTAAACCAAATGTCTCACTTGTTGTGTCCAGTACGAAGTGAAACAATTCACGACAACGGACTCAATCCATAACAAGTCGAGAACTCAAATGAGAGTGCAAACACTCTCCAAATATCGGTATCAACTCACCAAATCGGTCTCACCCCCATCAAAATCCAACCCGGCTGCATCATAAAGACTGCCTACGTATCCTCTTGCCCAAGGAATCAAGCCGAACGTAGTTCACCCAAATGGCCACGAACGACCTCAAACCAATAGAAGAGTTCGCAACCCTTCTCCAATATCATCAACTTTGCGGTTGATAGCACCTCCAATGGCCTCAAACACCTCCACCTGAGGTGAACCAATGGCCATATACAAACTATGTCTGTCAGCTGCATTCGAATCAAAACCCAACTCATCATCTGCATCCAAAACAAATTGATCCCTTAACTGTGTCACCTCAGCTGAAATCCCAAATGATGCAGTATGATCTGGAGTAATCTTCACCCAATGTGGAGTAGCATCACTCTCCACCAGTTGCAATACCTCTAAGGTCTGTCCAAAACTCTCCACCTGCTGAGAGTCAATTGGCTTCCTCATCGAAGCCTCAACCAAAGTGACACTATCAGACCTATCTTCCAATGGAGTTTTACCTCTAATCACAACAGTTGACAACTCTATAATAGGATGACCCACATATGTCGAAGCCTCAGTCTAGAAACTCTTCTGCAAACCATTGCGCGACCACAAACACCGATCCTCCTCCAGTAAGGCACGGTTCTCCAAATTTGCCACCCTATCTAGTTGCCCCAAGATTTCCTTTCCAACGAAGTGTCTCGAAATACCGTGAGCTCGGCTCCAATACAGAAATAGGTTCATCTTGTACCTCCCACCAGAATGGAGTACCTTCACATTTCTGTCTATTACACACTTCTTCAATCTGTTGGATACTACTAGAACTTTCTCCAAAGGGGATTTGGTTGCAACCCAAACACGCCTAGAACAGTCACCAACAAAGAAAACCAAACGCCTATTACCTCCCAATGATGCCCCCTTGGAAGGCCCCCAAACATCCACGTGAACTCCTCTAGAACGACCCTTAGCACGGTGAAAAGAGGTGTCAAATTTCACCTCGGTCTTCTTGCTCACATCAACATGTTCACTGGACTTCAAACTGCAGGTCTTCGCACCCTCTTTCAATCTATACGAGGAATCAATACTGGAATGGCCAAGCCCCAAATACCGCAGTCTAGTCGAATCAATAGAAGTCGTCAGCTCTCCACCTGTCACTATACCTCCAGTCAAGTAATACAGGTTATTTCTCCTGACGCCCTTCATCACAATCCGAGAGTCTTCCACAATCTTGAGAACCATGTCCTCAATTCGAACATTCAGACCCTCTCTAACCAAAGCTCCAATCGAGATCAAGTTTTTCCTCAAAGAAGGAACATATCTCACATCATTTAACTCCCTAACAGTCCCGTCAAACATTTTAATGCGAATTCTTCCTATCCCAAGAATCTGACATGCACGATTATCAGCCATGTACACCACACCACTATCCACCAGCTTCTCAAAACTGAAGAACCATTCCCTTCTAGAGCACACATGATAGGTCGCACCACTATCCAACATCCATTCAGATTTCTCCGAATAGCTATCTGTAGGACTGATAGAAAGCGAATAAATAGAAGAGTCGGAATTATTACCATCCGATACGATGTTTGCTTCTGATGATGGTTGCTTCCCTTTTTCCTCCTGCTATTCTTCATCCATTCGTCGAGCTTTGGGCAGTCTTTCTTCCAATGACCAGTCTCCTTGCACCAAGCACACTGATCTTTTCCTACTCTAGACTGTGACTTCCAATTCTTTAGGTTTGGACCATTCCCTCTTGCGACCAACGCCTCCGCTACCGGCTCAACTGAAGCCTCCTTATCCTTTTTTCGAAGCTGATAATTCACAAGTGCAGCGGTGACCTCACTATACGAAAGAGATGTCTTCCCATTAATCAGAGTAAGGACGAAGGTCTCATATTCCTCGTCGGGCAAGAAACTCAACAACAGCAGCGCCTTGTCCTCATCTTCAATCATGACATCCACATTCGTCAAATCCGCAAGAAGTTTTGTGTAGTGGTTCATGTGATCTCTAATGGAGGTTCCCTTCTTCAACTGGAAACGATAAAGCCTCCTCTTCAAATGCAAGCGATTTTCCACACTCTTAGTCAAATACTTGCTTTCGAGAATCTCCCAAATCTTCTTCGCAGAAGTCTCATTCATCACATCATATTTTAGATCTTGAATCAAACAAGACCTAATCACACCACACGCCGTTCGATTCATCTTCTTCCAAACCTTTTCTTTAATCTCATCTGGCTTGCCATCTAACTCTAAAGTATCCTTCAAATTCTGCGCGTTTAGCGCATCCAAAACCTCGCATCTCCATAATCCAAAATTGTTTGTGTCATTAAACTTCTCCACATCTATCTTCATAGAGTGGATATTCAAACTCTGAATGGTCTTCGCGCCAGAAGCACCACCCTCGACACCCGAAGCACCTTCTTTCCCCGACATCTTACGTACCAACGAACGAAGAATAGATCCAAAACTAAAAAGATAGAGTCTTTACCAAAAGATCCCACATTTATCACCAACGAAGCCCTAAACGAGCCTCCAAATTGATCTACTCCTCCAACCAAACCCTAGATCTGGAATCTGGGCTCTGATACCACTTGAAGAGATAAAAAAAAAGAAAACACGTGAAGTTTAAAAGCAAGTGGGGGCCACCATGTGCAGGGAATTCATGAAGATGCGGTTTTGATTTCGCAGCCCACCCGAGTTCTTTTTCGTGCTTATAAATGCACGTAGAACTAAAACCCTAGGTTTTGGTGCAAGTGCAGAGGCAGAGGGGAGAAAGAGAAAAAGGCGGCTGTGGATTTTTTTTGGGCTTCGTGCAGAGGAGAAAAATTCTATTTGGTGGCTGTTTTTGTGAGAGATTAGAGAGTTAGTTTGAGGGTTTATTTTGTGAGATTGTAAACCTATTGTATTTTCTCTCTAATAGTAGATCTCCCCCTCCTTGCCCCGTGGACGTAGGCAGTTTGCCGAACCACGTAAAATTGGTTTGTTTGAGTTTATGGCCATTGTAATAGTTTTTAGGATCCCTCGACGCGCAGTCCTAGAGCTGACGAGAGGAAGAGCTAATATCCCACTTTGATGGGATATTAGGCTTCAGATTCTTGTTCCCTTTGAGAAACAAGAATTCTTTTCGATCTTTCTCTCTTATTGTGCACCAGAAACTCTGCTGAAATTTCCGCTGCGCACAACACCGCTGACTGTTGACGGAAGACAAATAGCCGGAGGACTTACCTCAGGCTTTGGTGATGCGAAAAGTTAACCCTCAGAGGCCATGATCTACCACCTAAACGTTGATTAGCACCAAAACCCCCACGATAACTTCTCCCACGATCGCCTATCGCTCCAAAGCGCCTCCTCTCCATCCCTTTACCAGCCTTTTTGTTTAGTACATCCTTTATTTACTCCACTAAAGAAAGATCTTAGAAGTTTGTATATATTCATATAGTTTAGAATTACGGTACTTATTACCATAATTTAATTACATAAATTGCTTTGGAGTCTGGGAAGAGTCCTTTCAAGTGTCTGGCATGTCAAGAGATCTAAAAAAATGAAGTGGCCTGGGAAAACTGTTGAGAACCATCTAGTGGGCATGGCAAGAAAGTTCATCAACATGTTTTAAGTTTCTTCTTTTTGATAACGAAGTTGGTTAATTATGTTAAAATTAAACCTGACAGTTGTGTCATACACAAGTAAAACACTATTATCTAAATGAAAAGGTCATATTCTAGCTATTAAAAGTTAATGATGTTATCCAGAAATGGAACCATGATCTACCTAAGAAATCAAGACAAAAATTATAGAAATGTGGGATGCATTGAAGACTCGCTTATGGTTATCTTTCCAACTCCTAATAAAATTGCTTGAGAAGACTAGAATGATATGCGCAAAACTTGAAGTGCATTGAAACCTCTGTTCAAATGTATGTCTATTATCGTTTTCTGAGAAAAAAAAAAATTTGCTAGTCTTAATAAACTTGCTTGAGAGTCGAGACCAGATTGTTATGCATAAAGCAATAGCGGGGGTGCTAATAGAGACTCTACTGGATCCATTACCAGTAGCTGGGAGAATATATATGATTTTTTTTTCTCCAAGTCATAGCTTGGTCCCAAATCTGAACATCGACAACCCTTTTTGCTAGTCTAGCCTCAAACAAGCTACCCCTCCATCAGGGGCAATTCAAGTGAATGCTAATGATGTATAAGATGAGAGAGTGAGGAATCTTTTGGGGGCTTTTATGTATTGAGGAATCTAATTTGCTTGCAAATTTGTTGTTTCAGCGGGATGGCAGAGTATCTGATATCACAATTTTTATCCCGTGAACACTTGGGCACGCATTCTGATTTTTACTTTTAAAAAAGAACAGAACAAGAGGAACCCAAATTTTTATCCCGTTAAGAAAGAGATTTAGGTCCAATTAATTTATCACCGATTACCATCACTCGTAGAAAAAAACCCATAAACAAATTCAAGCAACGAATTACCTTCCATTGGCGATCTCATTCTTGCCAAGGAACCCAAAGAACGGGCCTTGGTCAACCTCCTCAAGCTTTTTCTGCTTGAAATAATCCTGCATCTCCTTTGCCATCTTCCTCTGATACTCAAAAGTCACCCCAGCTTCAACCTTTGCAGGAGACTGAGATTGAACTTGAGGTTGAGGTTGAGATGGAGCTGCTGGCTTCAACAGAGGGGGAGGAGGAGAGAGCGAAGGAGCCGAAGGTCTCCTCAATGGGCCCTCAGCTTTTGAACCGCGCACTATAAATGAAGGATTTGGATAAATTTTTGAAGAAGGGTGAGAGATTTTGAGCTTGATGCAAGGGATCGGAGAAGCTACAGACATTTTTGGGGTTTCTTTTCCTCTTGCTTTTTATTTCCTTTTTTTCCCCCTCCCTCCCTCCCTCCCTCCCTCTCTCGCTCTCGCTCCCTCTCTCCCCCTTCCCCTTGGGGAAAAGGAGAGTATGATCGTGAAGGAGTGGACAGGACGAGGCCAAGTTTGATGTGAAGTAAAATCTTTCGTTTTGTGGGTTGAGAAATTTTCTTCCCTTTTGTGGAGCATGTACCCTCTCTGTACGATGCCGTTTAAGTAAAGGAGTTTAGTTTGGTTCTGGGCCTGTTTGTTTCGTTTAAAAAAGGGTTAAATACCCGTATTGATATTTTAATTCCATCACATTTATCAAGAAGATATTTTAATTAGGTAAACCTGCTTTAAGGCATTTTAATTGATTCAACTTACCAACAAGGCTATTTTTCTCGTCGGCGACCAGTTTTCCGGCGAGAGCTGGTCACGTGCGTGACACATGATGACTTAAACTGTTTTTTAGCTGCTGATGTGGCACGAATCTGTCCTATTTTGGGTGAATTGGGATTTTTAGAGGGTTAATTCACGCATTTAAACACTGCCACGTCAGAAAATCCGTACCACATCAGCAGCTAAAAAATAGTTTAAGTCATCATGTGTCACGCACGTGACGAGCTCTTATCGGAAAACTGGTCGCTGATGAGAAAAAGGGCCTTATTGGTAAGTTAAATCAATTAAAATATCTTAAAGCAGGTTTGCCTAATTAAAATACTTTCTTGGTAAATGTGGTAGAATTAAAATACCAATATGGGTACTTAGCGTTTAAAAAAGATATGCTAAATGGCACTTAAATACCTTAATGATTCACTATCTTCACTCTTAAATATTCTAAGTTATAAAAAGTAGCATAAATATACTCTAAGTTGATAAAAAATAGCACATTGCAACCTTCTATCCATTCCTTTATACAAATGGGAGAACTCAATTTTACTATTCATGCTACAGTAAAATGCTACAGCACCATTGCTGTAGCATAAATACTGTAGCGATCAGGAAAACGGGATAATGTAGCATTTTTTGAAAAATTACTATAGCGCACGGAAATAAGGTGGAATTTTAAAAAATCATTGTAGCAGAACGGGATACTGTAGCACTTCAAAAAACACTGCAACAGAGCAGATACTGTGGCAATTTAAAAATTTTAAAAACGGTGTAGCATTAAAAATAAGGATTACTGTAGCGGAAAAAAAAAGATATGTCGTGTTTTGCACGGTGTTCACACTAGTACTGTAATAATTTAAAAAATGCGCGATATTGTAGCAATTTAAAAAAAAATCTTGTTGCGGTATTTAAAAACATGATTATTGTAGCGTGGAAAAAAATTATCATCGTGCTTTGCACGGACAGCACACTGGTTAAATAGATAACAGAATATTAAATTTTCTCATGTGCATAATACACAAGAATTTTTTATCGTATTACCCCTAGCTATTGCGTTAATTACCATTTTACCTACCCTTTAATTTATTACTAATATTTTAATGGAGGGCATTTTCGTCAAAACTAATGGTGTTAGCTTAATTCTAATTGTGGACTACTTAGGGTATTTTTATACTACTTTTTACAACTTTGGATATTTAACTGTAAAGATAGTAAAATATTAGGGTTTTGTTTGAATACCATGTTGTTTTTCTTGCTGTGTTTTTGTAAAAAAAAATAGTGTTGTGTTTTCCCCTTAGGAGCTATTTGGTTACTTTCTTTTATTTTTTAATTACAATAATTAATAGTAAACGTCAATGTTATAGGAAGTTTAGATTCTGGACTGATGTCTAGGTGAACTTCTTTCTTCATTTAAGTGGCGGTCGATGAGGTTTTGCTGAAGGTCAGAGGAAATAGTTGAGGTGTTCATATGTGAAGGCTAAAGGAATTTGAAGGAATTTGGAGGACGTTAATGCTACAACATAGAAAATCACGATTAAGGTCTAAAAGGTGCAGTCCACGTAAGGCTAGTTACAATGGGGTAGTTGAATGATGAATTAAATAGTTGAATGGGTGTAATGGGGGTGTTGAAAATGAGGTGGATTAAATAGAGTTGGAAGAATTCAACATGTTGAAAGAGGAGGGAGTGGAGCCCGCGCTGGACACGTGGCGGGCTCTGGATTAGCCACACCGAGCGCTGCAGGGGGGCGCTGACCTACGCGCAGGGGCTGGTGGGATGGGGACACGTGTTTTTTTCTTATTGGCTGCTGTGATTTTTGAGATTTTTATCTCATCCTAATTATTTGGGGTCAATTATTTCATAGTAAATGAATTTTTTTTCACCAAAATTCATCATTTTTTATACTCTATAAATAGAGCCTTGTTTCATTTCATTTGGACACAGAAAAAAACGCCTTTTTTCCCTCTAATTTTTCTATTAGCCTCCAATAAACTCTTGCTTAGTAGCTCTAAACATCTTTTTTAGCAAAATGGATCCCAACAATAACCCTTTCAACACCCAAAATTCTACTAATTACCCTTTCAACTACCCAAATCCCAACAATTATCAATTTCAAAATCAATCTTCCAACCAACAATGTCCCCAAAATATTTTAATTATTTTAACTTTTAATTATTTAACTTTTAATTATTTTAATCTTCCAACCAACAATTATTTAACTTTTAATTATTTTAATTTAATTTCAATCGATAATTGTTATTAATATGTAATCACAAAAACACAAAAGAAAATAAGAATATGAAATAAAAGTGGTGGGGTAGGGTGTTGAATTTTATTAAACAAGAAAATAAGAATATGAAATAAAAGTGGTGGGGTAGGGTGTTGAATTTTATTAAACAAAACCATTGTAGAGTGTAAAAGTTGAGTGGGTGTTGAATTATTAGGTGGAAGAGAGAGAAGATGATGTGGAGTGTTAAAAAGTAAAAAGTAGGGTGTTGAAAAACAAAACCATTGTTGATAGTCTAAGCAGACAATGCTCCCACAAATACTCCCAAAACCTAGGTGGGCGGCCTAAGTACCGTCCAGATGCTAGGCGCTAGTTAGACGGTCTAGGTATGAATAGTACATCGACTCAGCAGAGCAGTAAGAATCAGTACCAACAATTGAAATATCAGTGTAAACAAAAATACCTAATCATTTCAAGCTGAGAATAAATCATAAGAATCGACGACTTTAATACCGATTGGGCCGACAATTTAGCCCATCCATCTAACCCAAGTAGCTCACCGCCGTCGCATAACAAAATCTCTCGGCACCGTCGGCGTGCGTGCGTGCGTGCGTGCGAGCAGGCTGTTCACAGAACGTGCCGACAGGGTGGACCCCACCCTCGAGAAAAAACTGACATGTCATCAACGCCCATCATCACACGGAACAGTACGTTCCAACTAAAGCAATATTTAGGGCCCATATATCTCCGGGCCACAACCGAGTAGAGAATAAAACCTACGGGGCCCTTTTCCTTCCCTCTCCTCGCGGGCTTCTCTAAGCGTCTACGAGATTCTCACGAAAGAAGCTTATCATGTTTGATATTAGAAGACAAGTACCTCAAAGTTGCACTAATTCTAGTCCTTATAGTTTTTTTATTTATTTTAGATTTATCAGTTTAATTCCAAATAAAGATAATGACGGCTGGTTTTTTCGTTTTCTCCCGTTACATTTATGCGTCTCGTTGCCCATTTCTAAGCCGTGAATGCAACAATGTATTAACCGCGAGAGAAAGCGTTCTATGCGTCTGGTCTATGATATTAAACACGTATTAAAATTAACATTTGAATTAATGAGGTAATAGAGTTGTGATATATCCTCTAAATTATATGCTACTGAGTGGAAACTGTCATACGTTATGGAAATTTTAGGGCCGGATGAATCTTCGGGCCCACAGCCCAATCCACATCAGCTCAACAGAAATAAAACCCGCGGGCCCATTTTCCCTCTCTCTCTCTCCCCCCCGCTCTCGAGCGTTTCCATTGCCACAGCGCAAACGCCAACATCCATTCCCCTTTTTCTAGAGAGAGAGAGAGAGGAGAGAGAGAGGACAGGAGGATCTTCCTTTCTTTTTCTCCCCACCTTCCTCTTCATTCGTCGCCTCTTTTTTTATCACAAATTTCTAGGGTTTCGATCTTATTCGTGTTTTAATGGCGAAGAAGAGGAAATCCGACGCGAATCGCCTCGACGAGGTCGAGCGAGGGATGTACTCGACCTTCTGCAGCGCGGCGAACTCGCTGTCGCAGATCTACACGCAGGCCATGAATCAGCAGAAGGTCTCGTTTCAAGCCGGAGAACGGCACGCCTTGGTTCGTCGATCGACCTCTTATCTTTTTTTTTTTCTTCCTCTTTTGACCGGATGACGGTAAAATTGACCGAGGTTTTGCGGTCTGGATGGGTTTCTTGACTGTGGATTGGTTTTGTGCGTTTGCTGTGTTCTTTTATGTTCGCATTTTGTCTCTTTGATCGTGGTTGTGTTCGCTTGTAGCTGAGAAAGGTTGGGTATTGTGAAAGTGTCGGTGAAGATGCACTCTTTGATGAAGCAAAATGGGGCTGTTTTGAAGTCTGGTTTAATTTGGGGAAGGGAGAAATGGAACGGAAATATAATGTTTGATAGGAGAAAGTTAAGTTCATACCAATAGTTCAGGAGTAACAACTTTAGTTTCATTGTACAGGAGGAATGACGAGACTGGAAAATGCATTGGGTGGATCTCAAATTTAGTTCTTTGTTAAAGAATAAGTAGTTATTTTGTTGGGGTATCTGATATGAGCTGAAGAACGAGTCATATTTTATTATGACATGGTTTCGGCCAAATTATCTCACATGGGTTTTGCTTCTACCAAAATTATCAAGGTTATTAACTGTTGGTGCTTTATATTGTTGATTAGTCGTTGACGGGGGACTCAGTTTTTGAGTTATATCAAGTTACGCTTTCATTGAGCGCATAACCTGTTAATGAAATCACTTGAAATGCATATAGATATATCTCACTCAATCACCACGGCCACCACATTACCTTTGGCAGGATGTTATGCAGAGGTAGGTGAGTTATGAATATTTTAATGTCATCATCTGGCAACCTGATTGCTCTTCCTTTAGAGATGACCAAAATCACCAAAAATACTGATAAGCTCATGTTCTTACGTCTTTACCAAAAGGAGTAAATACTATAAAACATTGCAATAAAATATGCGAGTATTTAAATTTTGGCATAAGGGGTATCGGGGGAGTCGGAAGTCATATGTTTAGACACAGTACGTGATTTGAAATATGCGTTAGTTACATCACTTAAGTTTCTTGTTCTTCTGTGTTAATTACATGTACATAATTATTCTAAGCTTTTCAGCAGGTTATATAGGACAACAAAGGATCCAGTATCAATGCAGTAGATCTTTGTATCCATTCTTTCTTTTATGATTTGTGTCAAGCGTCGTATGCATCGCTTTTTGAATGAATCTATTTGCAATTTAAGGGAATTGTGGCATGATTTGTGTCAAGCGTCGTATGCATCGCTTTTTGAATGAATCTATTTGCAATTTAAGGGAATTGTGGCCTAGCCAACTTCTAAGGGGAGTTATTAAAGTTGTGAAGTTTGACTTTAAAAATGTAAGGGAGTTATTAAAGTTGTGAAGTTTGATTTTAAAACTGTAACAGGGTTTAAGGACATGTCAACATTAATTCGATTTCATATGGGAGGAACATATGGACTTTGAATATCAGTGGAACATATGGACTTTGAATATCAGTGCACTGTTAGCAAAGAAGTGAATTGGTCGGTTCATTGGTTATCTGTAATTTGGAAAATCATGTATATTTCTTACCTGATTGCACTTTGTATACAATATCATCTGCGAAGTTTGCTACTCAAGTTTTCCCTTGTTGTTCTTTTTGTTCTTCGATTTCTCATTCTATCCATGATTCCATGTATCATTCTAAACTACAGCTTGTTCTTCTCTTTATACTTTATGCAGGAGAAACTGTATCAGTGGATATTGAGAATTCTAAACTACAGCTTGTTCTTCTCTTTATACTTTATGCAGGAGAAACTGTATCAGTGGATATTGAGACAACACGAAGAAACATCAAGAGTGACAGCAGCTGATATAGTTGCCTACTTACAGGTTCTATCTCTACTTGTCCTTTTATTTCTGTAACATTTTGTGGTTCATTATTTTCTTACTTTGTTGTTGTTGTTGTATGTTCTATAATACCTGAACTGTTCAATAACATTTTGCTATTAAATATATTAAGTCATATATGTATCATCAATATGATTGTTTTCTTGCTTATGTTCATATTTATTTGGTTTTCATATGCATGCTAACTGCTGTAAGCCTGTAACGATATTGCTTGATGATTTTCTCTATGGAGTGCAGGTGACTTTATAAATGCAATCTGACGTGTAACAGTTATTTCTATATTGTATTGTTCTTATCTTATCTGATGAAAATTTTCCTCTTGTCACAATGTTTAGGATTTCTGTTTGCTTCGATTTACATTGAGTAGACCCTGAGTATATTTGACTTATCACCGATGTTGAAATGTAGGAACTCATGATGTAGCTATCTTTTTGTGCATAATGGCATGCTCATTTCCCAGGTTTGTAGTTGCTGTGTATGCAAATTTTTTAATGAACATTTACTGAGTGTCGTCAATTACTGAAGTCTGTTGATACTAATATACTGACCAAACTGTGGATTTTTTTTTATTTAATGTCATTTTGCATGCCGCAGTTGTTGAGTGTAGTCATGCTTGCTTATGGTTCTATAGATGGTCATAGGCATAAGTTATCATTATCACTGCAAGGATCCTGATGATGTTTTTGTACGCAGCTTTGCCTTTTTATTGACGTTTAATCATGGTTTATAGTCATGGGTTCATCATATTTCTACAAGCAAGTCCGCATATTTATTGAGGTTTCAGAGGAATACCCTAAAAAAGTTTTAACTTATTATTCTCACCCACGTCCTATCTTTACATCCACAAGACAAGAACCATCCACCACCCTTTTCTCTTCTCATTTCTCCTCGTGCGTAACCTTTTTTATAAAACTTTAAGACAACCAACTTGCTATCTGTCCTCAGCTAGCATTAGCACCTTAGTGAAATTTTTTTATTTAGCTAAATTTTAACCTTTTTGCTTAATTTGCCTCAAAAGACCAATGTATTGAGTATCTTGACTTGTATGTTTCTTTTTATATTGGACAACTATCATTACTTATCATTTTGGCCCCTGGAAAGTTCACTTATGCTGACTGGTTGCTTCAATATCAACTAGTTGTCTTCCATAACAACTATTTTATTGTCGGTTTAATTGCAGATAAACCCTAGTATTATGGAGGGTTCTACAGGTAACACCACTATTGTTTTTCCTAGTTAAAAACCCATCATGCAGCTAATGGGATTAAATTTCTGTACAAATTGGTCATGTGCAGAGAATGTGACCTCCTAAATCTGGTCCTTCTTTAATTAAATTTTCTTGTTCGAAGTCACTAATTATCCCAATTGAAAGTTTAACTTTAGTCAAGTTTCATATTAATATCTCTTCTTCGGTGTCTGGTACAACTACAACATCATTCTAACCCAAGAATTGCTAGTTCTTGGCTCTAATCTAAAACCCTGAATTCCTCTCCAATATGACTACACCATCCTCCTCTTCCAACCAATCATTCCCAGCATCGCCTTTATCATCTTTGCCATTTCATTGAGATGGAAATTTGGACCGTATTGGCGCTGGTGAATGTGATAGGAATCAAAGTGGAGGTGATGGAAGAGGAAAATAAGTAAGGGAGATTAGGTTGAGACTGTGATGCAAGAGGGGTTAGGTTTATGGTCAGTGCTTGAAGATTAGTTAACTTGTTAGGTTATGATGGAGATGGCATTAGTGGGGGAGTAAAGGAGGAAGAGATGGTGATGATGAAGCGGGGGAGTTGGTGGAGGAGGAAGAGAGGGTTGGTAACTTTGAATTTAAAATTAGATTTTTATTACGATTATTTAATATTAGAGTAAGATAACTGTGATCTTGAGTAACAGTACTTTAATTTTTAAGGAGATCATGTGCTCTGAATGTGACTGATTTATGTGGAGAAGTTAATTCTGTTGGCTGCAAACTTAGGTACAAGGAGACTAACTACAGAACCTCCCCTTGTACAAGATGATTATTTGCAATTAACCCCTTATTATTTATATGGGTTGAATGGCTGATCTCTTATATAATATCTACATAAACTCCTGTAAGCTGGTGGTGGGAAATCGTGTATAGTTAAGGTTCTTAGTCAATGGAACTCTATCAAAAAGTAGAACTGGGATAATTATAAAAGTTTATCTCGCTTTGATCATATTCGTACAAAAAAGAGAGTTCTAGTCTCTCAAGTAATTTGACGTTTTACGCTAGAAGTAGATGCTAAAAAACTAGAACACTTTTGTTTCTTTCCTTGCTTCTTATTTTTCTTTTTTGTTTTCTTTTCTCTGTCCTCTCTTCCTCCAATGGTCATCGTCATTATTAGACCATGGCATCAGATCGGATCACCTCGCCACCTATTGCTCTCATTATATGTTATTTTCCTTTTTTACTGAAAATTAAAATTATTTTATTAAATCAAATTAAAAAACGCAGATTCATAATTATTAAAAAATAATGGAAATCAAAAGATGAGGGGAAGAGATATGGAGGAGCGAAAAAGAGGAAGAAAATCGGAAAAACTTTGAATTTTCATATACTTGCACTATAATAATAATTCAAAACGAACAAAAGAATTAGAAATTATTATTATAATAAAAATTATTACAACATTCTTGTAGTCTAAACAATAGTTATTCAAGATTAATTAATATTATAGTAAATAATTAATAAAGTAAGTTTTAAAATATATAAATAGTAGTCATGTCATTAAAATGCATAAATTATATACTTCTTAATCATCACGAATTATCCCACATCAGTTCCCACTTTAAAACTTATACCCTAAAAATATCCCACTTTCAAAGTAGTTATCCAACATTATGTCATTTCTAGTGAAAATGTTCCAATTGACTACCCGTACATCTTTTTAAGTTTTTGGTATAATCTACTTATGCTGTTGGTTTTCTTAGTGGAGTGTCACCAAGTATATTAGTCCCCTGCTAACTTTGTTAGAAATTTTAATTCTGGACTACTACAGCATGAAATAGATTACGGAGGAGAGGATTCATCAATATCTCCAAGGTATCAAGCTTCTGCTTCGTTCGCTCAAGCAACGTCAGCTGGACTTGGCCATCGAGCTGCTCACATTGATCAAACAAAGAACTCTGTCTTCTCAAATGCTCTTTCAAGCCCCGTTCGCAGAAGTCTACAATCTTATCACCTGCCTCAGGGAGGAGGTGAATCTTATCCTGATGCTGGTAATGGATCTCGAAACCATGAATCCAACTCTTTTAATCAGAACAAAGATCCCAATTCGAACGATTCATCTATGGATATGCATTCAGATAGCCCATCTCATGACTCCTATTGATTGAAACTTGCTAATCATAATTGCCTCAAAAGTCTACAATGCGGTTTCCCCTATGGAAGTCAGCAGCAACAACAAGATGATATAGGGAAGGTATGCTATGAAGTGCTTGATGAAAGTTTTATTCTTTCCTCGTGTTGAAGTTGTCGAATATGCTTTTTGCGTTCGTTTGCTTCTGCCTAATTCACTGTACAAAGCTGTCATGAGCATTACTTTGGTTGAACTATTTGCTCAGTTGAAACTTGGTTTCTTATCTATTAAACTTTCATCGTGTGCCAAAACATGTGGTGTGGTGTTTAGCAATCAAATTATTAACAAGCGTATGCAAGTTGCTAAAGTTTTGTTAGGGGTGGTTTATCTGTTTGCTTGTTTTTGGAAAAGGAGGGAAAAGTTATGCAGCTGTCAGGTTATAGGAATTTTTCATGCTTAGACAGTTTGGTTGACAATCCATGGATGAGGTGACACGCCAAAAAAAAAAAAAAACTGATGTGGCGGCCTCTTAACAACTTCTCTCTTTTCCAGTTTGAACTGATTTTGCTTTAGATTATGGTAATTGTATCCTAGTTAGATGTATCCTAGTTCTGGGTACAATAACTTCTCACCATATCTAGGTATAATTCAAACATTTCAGTTCTCCGAGCTATCATCGTTATAGTTTAGTTTGATTGAAAAGGAGAAAATTAAATGCCCACGTGGGAGGATGGATTCTCAAATGGTATGGTGATAAAATATGGAGGCAAATGGGAGAGCATAGATTTGGTGAGGGGCCATGAACGCTTCAATGCTTGAATCAAGAAGATCAAAGGTCTCCGAGCCATGCGAAAGTATATTGACCACAACCACTAGGAGGTTAAATGGATATGGATGTCCGCGGGTATATTCATATTCATACTCTAGCGTATACGGATATACTAAATATCCGCGTTCTGTCAAGTATTAATTTTCCCATTTTCTGTGGATAATATATTCATACATCTGCACCAATGTTCTTAATATATCAAACCTTAGAGCTATTTAGTGTACGGTGTATCACTTCATATTGGTGGGCTTCGATTAAGAAAACTACTAATTTACTTAGAAATTACTTGTGTGACACGGCTCGTGTGCTTTTGAAGTTTATTCATCTCTCTCGTATCCAAAATGTATACGCTCGTGTTCCCTTCCATTCGATTACTATCCTTATCTCGTAGTTAATCCAACATGACGTTCTTTTCGTATGATATCTGCGATTAATAAACTTTAAAAAAAATTTTTTTTTTTTTTTTTGAGGTCTCAAATCAAACACGCCGCTCTACACTGTAGACCTCCAGTTACGCCAAGTATTGTGCACAGCATCGGATATAAATCTTGGGACCACGGTGACGCTGCTAAAAAGTTTCGGAGCTCGTTCACGCCCACTCTCGCTTTCATTGATTAGGCGCCAAAAAGGAGCCTCGGCCCTCGATTGGGCATTCTCATCGCCGTCCTCCGGCCCCCCACGTGCGGCAGGCCCCACGTGTACACTGGCCGTTCGTTTTTTCGCTCCGTAGGAGCTGACCGTCCGATCTTAAAAACTGACGGCTGTTTAGCTTGCGATCCCAGGGGCTGCTACGCCATCTGCCGGAGAGAGCTTCGTGGGCCCCCACCGCGTCCAAGTGCTGCCTCTAATCATCATCTAAAGCTTGATCGCTTACCGATTTGGGGGGGCCCCACTGCGAGATAAGACGCCGCGATTTCCCGCGTAAATTAGTTTAAAGGCTAAATTATCAGAAAACTCCCCCTTGGTCTTTAGACAATTGTTGGAAGACACACCCCCCCTAACTTTCGAAATATCAGAAAAAAACCCCTCGAGTATTGGGATTATCACAAAGCCCCTCTTTAACTTTAAAATTTATCAAAATTACTTACAGTTGGGGGGTGGTGGTTGTTGTTGGGGGGTTTGCGAGGGGTGTTGAGGTTGATTTAGCCTTAGTTTAATTATTTCTTATTTTGAAATTAGTCCATTAAATGCTATTTTGGTCCCCCAATTCCTATTGTTTATTCAACTTTTAGCGTCAAATTTGCTACTATACAAGGCGAATATTTAATTAAACTTGATTTTTTTTTCTACTTCTATTTTCAGTGAGCCACTTTTATTTAAGTTGAGAACTTAAACCTGTTTAAAACCTAATCTCTCTTCTCTCCCCAATAATCTTCTTTTTCCTAACTCCTTTTCATAAAAGAGAAAAGAAACTTTGTGATTTAGGAAAGGATTAGATAAATCGGGGATAAGAAGATATTTTACTTTGTTGAATTAATCAATAAACCAATCAGAGTTAAGAAATTGTCGTAGTAATAACTATGCTATCAATTCTATACTACTTTTATACTAGCACAAGCAAAATAATAGAGTTAATAGTAACTTATAATTTTTCTTAACAATTCATAAAAAATACCACGCACACTTGTTAATAGTAGCACAAAAACAAATGCGTAGCATAATTAACATTACCATAAGAAATTACTTATAATACTTAAAATGGCTTAATGCCAATTTCAATAAGTTGAAGGATAACGTAAACATAAAAGATGTAAGACAAAGTTTGCGAAGTGACTTAGTTCAATTTATAAGTTTGTTTTTCTTAATAAGCGTCCAAGATTATATTTGCTATATTTATCTATTTATTTATAGATAGAAAAGAAAGTCAGGTTTTCCAACTTCTAGGTTTTATGTAGGTATTTTTGGTTTATTTCCTTGCTGAAATTTGTTGCTCAATTTCACATTGATGGTTTTTGCTCAGTTACGTCTCTAAACTTTAGCATTATGAATATTTATTTTTTTAATGTTCATTAAAATGAGTTACATCCAATTAAAATTTTCATGTTCATAATTGAATTGACATGAAACAAATGTTCTGAAGCCAATTTGAATTATCATGTTTTTTGGATCGACATGAAACCAAGCTTTACCTAAGAAAGTATAGTGTTGTAAAAATGAAAAAGCTTGAAAAATAGTGTTACAAAAAAGAATGAATACTTAAAGCTAATAAGACAAGAAGATTGGTTAGAAGTGAGCTAAAACGACATGAAAGAGAATACAAAGTTTGTTCCTAATCATAATAGACTTTAAAAAAATAATAAACTAAAGATTAATAATGCTTATTTTAATATATTTTTATACGATGAAAGCATCCACATATTTCTAAATTACTAAAAAATATTCTATAAATATGCAGAAAATAGTATATTTCATTTCTTTTGTGTTATTTTTTATTGAGCCGACATCAATCCTTCTCCACTTTTATCTTTTTCGATAAAATTAGACTACTTTTAAATGCTAAAAGGGATAGTAAACCTAAAATTAGAAGTTAAATTTATATATGTTAATGAAATAATATCAAACAACTACTAAGTTCTAAAAGTGGACTGCTAAGTTTTAAAATTTTAGTCATCTTTTGTGATTCTGAATTTTTAGGGGTGTTTTTTGCAAATTTTAAAACTTTGAGAATATTTTTTTGAAATTTTTAATATTTAAGTTGGGTGTTTATAATTTTCATGTGTTGCTACTAAGCTTTTGACTGTCACGATATTTTTTGCAGCTATGAAATATTGAGGGTATTTTTTATATTTATGAAACTTTGGATTTTTTGTAAAATTAAATTTTGGTGATAATTTTTAGATTTGATATGTATTGGTTATAATTTTTGAAATCTCAAAGTTTTTCGTGATTTTTAACTTTTGAATGAGGTTTTTACAATTTTTATAATTTTTAAAGTTAGTTTTTATAAATTTTAAATTTTCAGGTGTCTGATAATAATCCCTTGAATCCATCTTTATTGTTTCCGACCTTTAAAATTTTAAAATTCCAAGTTGCTTTTTTATTATTTAAACTTTTGCTGGTGTTTTCACAATTATAAATGTTGTGCGCAGCGGAAATTTCGGTAGCACCTCTGGTGCTCAACAAGAGAGTAGATCTCAACTAAATCCTTGTTTCACAAAGGAAATAAGAACCGAAAGCAAAATATCTCAACAAAGTGGGATATCAGCTCTTCCTCTCATCAGTTCTAGGATTGACTTGTCGAAGGAACCTAAACTCTCTATTACAAATCATAGCACGAACAATCAATTTTAACGTGGTTTGGCAAGTTGCCTACGTCCACGGGGCAAGGAGGGGGGAGATCTACTATTAGAGGGAGAGAGTACAAATAGGGTTTACAATCACACAACTTAAACCCTCAAGCAAAACTCTCAAATCTCACACAAAGGGATGCCAAAAACCCTCTCAAAAGGACTGCTCAAACTCTAAAAGGACGGCTGACTTTCTCCTTTTTTTCTTTCTGTGTTTTTCTCCTGCACGAAGCAACACGTTGCTTTTTCACCCTCTGCTGCACCTGCACCCCCTCTTTTGCACTCAACCCTAGGTTGTGATATCAAGCTATATATATAGCTTCGGGAAATCCGGTTCGTGTGCTCGTGAAGCCAGCTCCACACGGCTTTGCTCTTCACGTGGTTTTGCAACACGTGGGTGGGCCCCATGTCCCCAACATTCACAATTCTCCACCTCGGCGAAGTTTTTCCAAAACTGAGCTGACACCAAAGCAACCAAATATCTTACTTGTTGTGTCCAGTACGCCGTGAAGTTAATTCACGATAACGGACTCAATCCACAACAAGTCGGAACCCGAACGAGAGTCCAAACAATCTCACCCCCATCAAAATCAACCAATCCAAAACTGGTTGCATCGTAAACACTGCCTACGTATCCTCTTGCCAAGGAATCAAGCCTAACGTAGTTCACCCAATGGCCTCCAAAGGCCCTCAATCCAATAGAAGAGTTCGCAACCCTCTTCTAATATCATCAACTCTGCGGCTGATAGCACCTCCAATGGCCTCAAAGTGTAACGGATCAAACACCTCCACCTGAGGTGAACCAATGGTCATATCCAAACTACATCTATCAGTTACACTCGAATCAAAACCCAACTCATCATATCTGTATCCAAAACCAATTGATCCCTAAGCTATGTCACCTCAGCTGGAATCCCAAACAATACAGAATGATCTCGAGTATGTGGGGTAATCTCCACCTAATGTGAAGTAGCATTACTCTCCACCTGCTGTGATACCTTTATGATCTGTCCAAAACTCTCCACCTGCTGAAAGTTAATAGTCTCCCTCATCGAAGCCTCATCTAATGTGATATTACCAGACCAAATATCCAATTGAGTTTTACCTCCAATCACACCAGTTGATAACTCTTTAATAGGATGACCCAAATATATCGAAGCCTCAGTCCAGAAACTCTTTTACAGACCATTGGTTGATAACAAATACCAATCTTCCTCCAGCAAGGCACGATTCTCCAAATTTACCACCATATCTA